CTGCCGTGGTGTACTTGTACCTCCCAAGTTATTCCACAAAGTTCCTGGTTACTGATCAGAGACAGTTTTGACAAGTTTACTGTTGAAGCCCAGCAAAATAGAAAATTAAAACAAAACAGCCTAGAGAATAAAAAAATCATTCAGACTTGTGAAATTCTTATTAATCTAAGTTTGAGTGACACAGGTTTCTTTCTGTAATATATTTGGCTAAAATCAGCCCAGATTTACCCCAGATTCTGCTGGCATAAACACAGATACAGGACCTCAGCAACAGGATGGCTTTTGGAGAAAGCTACACTAGTGAAAAGCAACTACAAATTCCCTTCTCCAAGGCTGCCAACATGCATCCAGCACAGCCCAAAATGGGAGAAGTCCTGACCAGAAAGGGGACAAGGCCAGATCATCTTCCATTGATGAGGCTGCCATGTGGTCTCAAGAACAAATAAGCTTCTCTCCTCTGGCAGAAACCCAGAAGAGGACAAGTGGAGATTGTACTGCCTTACCACCCTCACGTTCTCCACCCCATTGGGGTTCAGTGGTTCCAGCTGGCAGAGAGGTGTAATTTACACCTCCCTGGGCAAGCAATAATGAAGCTGAACCATGAGTTTAAATCTGATAGTGAACCCTTAATGATGACCTATATTTTCCCCAGTTGGAGTCCCGTTCTTTGAAACTGAACAAAGGAAGGGAGAAACACTATGGCTGAGGTATACCAAAATATTGCCGGTAAGAATATACCTGTACTGTTCATGGTCTTAACCAAGAGAATCCCCATGACCATGAATGGGGAAATACTTTACATGAATGGAAAAATACTGTTTTGGGAGGCACACACCAGTGTAATTGCAGAACCTTAGGGTTTCAATACAATACATTGACATTTCACAATGTGAAGATGTCCTAGATTATGGTTCACAACACAACAGTAGAATACATGCACTTAAGCTGGCAATTTTAGAATAAATCAAAATGTGCCTTTTTTTACATGCTGTCTTGGATAACAAGGTTAAACAGAGGATCTATTAAGAAAAGCAGTGACAATTTAAATAAATCACATGTTTTTGCTGAAGATTATGCTGTGATTTTCTCCAATTATTCTTGACATTTCACCCATTCATATTGTGATCTGAGTTAATAATGGAAGGGAAAAAAAGGCTCGTCTCCTTGTTTATTCTTTGTTCCCAAGGAGAGAAGCAGTTTATAAAGATAAGTTTTTTTGTTATTTAAATTAATTTTACTGAAGTTGTTTATTTCCTTGTTTGAGTTTCTAAAAATATTGCAACAATTGTAATGCTTCTTTGAGATGTCTATTCAATTCACTGTGATTTGTACTAGAATTCATTGCTAAATGGGCACAGGTGTTGATGATGAACATACCGTACCAGAATGAGTCAAAATCAATCACGGTTCAATAAAGACACACTAAATCAGCTCTTTTAACATGTAATAAAAATGCCATTTTAGATCACTACTAATGTAGGTGTGTATATATAGTACAGAAAATGTATTTTGAGCAACTACGCAATTTTAAAATAGTATGTTAGAAAATGCACTTTAATCATTGTTAGTTTTTCCGATATCCTAATTATTTAAAAAATAGTAATTGCATTAAGGACATATTTTGCTTTCTAGAAAAAACGCAAACTAAGGCACTAAAGTACAGCTTGTAAACAGTCTTATAACAAGAAATTGTTGAGCAGTGTACAATGAAAATGACTTCTCTTTTCCAATAAATTCAGAAATTTACCTCAGGAGTAATTTATGGAAAGTGGATGTCATTAAGCTATATTTCAGAGAAAACTATCTGATGTTTCTCTGGGAATCAAAAATATTTCCTACCTGTTTTCAGGATGAGAAAATTGTGAAATTATCTCAAGCTTCCTCCCTTCCTTCCCCCCGCACTAAATACTCCAAGGGCAACACTTGAAGCCCAAATATTGTTAGGAGTGTTTCTGCTGTGCTGGAAGAACAATCAGCAGAGTCTTCAGAGGGCACTACAGACATCCTCCACTCTTCAAAAGAGAAAAGAGGGGAAGTCAGTTTTGCAATGTACCCACTGATCATTCTTCTTTAGCATATGTACGATGTGCATGCCTCAGGTGGCACATGAATAGGATTCATCACAAAATTAGGTCTGTGACTGGATCATTAGCTTTCCCAGCTTGGGCCTGGTACTAATGGGGAGTGCAATGTGAATGCGGGTCCATGTGGCCCAACGTAGGAGCAAAAGCAAAGGTCTAGCAGACAGCTATGCAATTAATAACCTAGAAACACACTTTATGGTTGAGGATTGCTTCCTTCATTCCCACTGTGTTTCAGTGCTTTTTGTTTGGAGCTAAGTCCTTTCATAACACATTATTTTATCTAGTTCTCTCAACTACTGGAATCAAAATAGTTGACTACCCTCAGTTGGGAGTCTCACTCCTGTTCTGTTTTCTTTGTGACAAACATCATCTCCTTAGAAAGGATGAGGATGGAATCAGATAAATCACACCAAGAGTGCTCTTCCTGAGGTCAAACAAGGCTCTTGCCTCAAACTCAGAGCTCTTGAAAAATGTAACATAGATTGAGAAGGACAGACTAGAGGACTATAATAAGTAGGCTCTTGGAAAGGTGGGGCGCTTGAGAATGGGTTAGTGGTTTAAGCAGCCCCCTGAGACATCTAAGTTCAATTCCCTGTTCTACCACAAACTTTGTCTGAGCTTGAGCAAATCACTTAGGCTACGTCTACACTGGCCCCTTTTCCGGAAGAGGCATGGTAATTTTTGAGATCGCAATAGGGAAATGCGCGGGGGATTTAAATATCCCCCGCGGCATTTAAATAAAAATGTCCGCCGCTTTTTTCCGGCTTTTAGAAAAGCCGGAAAAGAGCGTCTACACTGGCCCCGATCCTCCGGAAAAAGCGCCCTTTTCCGGAGGATCTTATTTCTACTTCAAAGTAGGAATAAGATCCTCCGGAAAAGGGCGCTTTTTCCGGAGGATCGGGGCCAGTGTAGACGCTCTTTTCCGGCTTTTTTAAAAGCCGGAAAAAAGCGGCGGACATTTTTATTTAAATGCCGCGGGGGATATTTAAATCCCCCGCGCATTTCCCTATTGGGATCTCAAAAATTACCATGCCCCTTCCGGAAAAGGGGCCAGTGTAGAGGTAGCCTTATTGTCTCTATACCTTAGTTCCCAGTGCATAAAATGAGGATAATAGCATTTCCCCTACCTCACAGGTTGTAGTGAGAATACATACATTAAAGATTGTGAAGTGCTCAGATACTATGATAAGGAATGTGTCTAAGATGCAATGACAACCCTACCCTTTCCTCTTGCAGGTGTGCACTCTGGAGCCTCCCACTGGCTCTCAAATTCACCACAGCAGATTCAGAAGTTATATGTATGATACTGTAAGTTAGATTTCTTCATAGATGCATAGACCTAAACTTCTATAGACGCATAAGACTTTTCTTAAATCTACTTACACCTCAGCAAATTGGTGTAGGTAAATGTAACGTAATCCAAGATGGTAATAATTTGCCAAAATTTGGGTGGCAATGATGTAAATTACCTCATCTGAGACTTTCTCTGGATTTACCTAGACCAGGGGTGGGCAAGATATGGCCCAGAGGCCAGGTCCAGCCCACTGAGCCTTTTAATCCAGCCCATGGCTGGCTGCTCCTTATGGCTCTCTGTGTTGAGGGGTGGGTGGGTGGACTTTGTATGCTGCCTCCGCCTTCAGCAAAAGCTCTCAACTCCTATTGGCTGGAAAGTGGCCATTGGGAACGGAGAGATTTTGCTGGGCATGTGGGCACTGCAGCACAATTTCTCAGCTCCCAGCCAATAGGAGCTAAGAGATTTTATTGGGGGCATAGGCAGCACATAATGCCTCCCCCCACAATGCAGAGAGCCACATGGAACAGCCAGTCGCTGTGAGTGCTCTGGGGTTGCTGGCAGGTAGGGAAGCCTGCCTGAGAGTGCTCCTGGCCAGGAGCAGCTTTGGTAAGTGCTTCTTGGCCAGAGTCTGCCTCTGGCACCCCACTGCCTCCCACAACTCCCTCCCAGACTCTGCACCCCCTCCTACACTCCTTCCCAAAGCTGGAATCCTCTCCTGCATCCATACCCCCTCCTGGACCCTGCACCCCAATCTCCTACCCCAGGTCACCACCCAAACCCTCTACACCTTCCTTCCACATCCGGTCACAGTTTCCTCACAGACCCTGTACCCACTCCTACATCCATCCCCCAGTCCATAATCCTTTTCTTCACCCATACCCCTCCCAGACCTGCACCCCAACCCCCTCTTTCACTCAAACTCTCTTTCAGACTCTACACCATCTTCTGCATCCCAAATCCCACAGAAAAGTGAGGCCCTTGACAACTTACCAAAATCTTGGAGTGCCCCGCCATCAAAAATGATTGCCCACCGCTGAATTAAGGTCAATGTTGTTAGTTGGACACAGTGTCACTGTAGACACTATTACTTTAATCAACTGCTAGTGGACTCCAGCAACTGTCCCACAATACCCCACCCTGGCTGCTCTAGTCATCATTATAGACTCCATTGCTTAGCAACCAGCTGGCCAGTGATTTTTGAAATTAAATTTTCTGGTTGCAATTTTGCCCAGCTTGAAGCCCTCACCTAGTAACTACTCAGCTGACCGTGCTGGCTGCACGTCTGCAGCCATAGCTCAAATCCAGCCACATAAACACCAAATATCTACAAGCAGATCTCTTGGGGCATGGAAGAGAAGGGTTACAAGAGGGACCAGGCAGCAGTGCTGCGTGAAAGCCAAGGAGCTGCAGCAAGAGTACCAGAAGGCAAGGAAAGCTAAAAATTGCTCAGGTGTGGAGCTGCAGACCTGCCACTTTTACAAAGAGCTGTATGCCATCCTCAGACAACTCCTTCCTCCAAAAAGCCATACTGATACTTTGAAGGAGCCTGAGTTAGAGGCCTCCTGCACTGAATAGTGAGGAGGAGGAGGAGAAAGTGGAGGAAGAAAAGGAGCAGTAGTACGATGTACAGGCAATTGCGGGTCCAGCTGCATGGTGAGCCAGGATATATTTTTTACTCCAATATAGTCCAGATAGTCCCTACAGTCCAGCATGGGCAAGAAGGAACCTCTGGTAAGTATACTGCTTACTTGAAAATTAAAGAGAGGGAACCCCTCCATCCTCCAAAAGAGCAGGGCACATCTCTTAATTTGCTCTTTTTTACTTATGCTAGAAAGAAACAACCAATAGAGGCAGAGCTGCTGTCTGCTTCTCACCCATCTCTAAAGTTGGGGGAGGGAGGCAGAAGAACAATTTGTTTATGTGCACTGGAATGTCCTGTGAATCCTCCATAGAGATCTGAATGAAACTTTCCTGCAGGTAGTTTGCAATCCTCTGCTGTAGGTTTCTGGGGTGGGAGCCTTTTTTCCCCCACTAAGGTATGGCACCTTTCCACACCACTCAGCAATTACTTCAGTGGGAACTATTGCAATACACAGGCTAGCAGCACATGATCCTGGGCAGCAGACAGATGCTTGCAGGAGTGGTTTCCTTTCAGCTTCCATTATCCTCAGGAATGAGATATTGGCTAAAATCACATCCACCTGTAGAAAATTGATGCCAGTGGTTTTTGTTTGTTTGTTTTTTGATTGTCCGATAGCCATATACCCATGCCTGTGAACTATTCCCCCTCATTTTGCCAATTCACCTCCATCTCCAGGACTGTACTCATCACGACTGGTGCTGTGACAACCAACGTGCTATATAAATCCCAAGGAGAAATGAGGATGTAGTGTGTATAACTTGTGTGAATCAAAGGGAGTAAGTTCAATATCCTAAGCTGCGATTTGCCTCATAAATACAATGGCAACAGTACTTCTGTGTATTGTATCTTCAGTTGTTGCACATATGGCTTTGAGGATCTCTCCATCCACACCAGAATAGATAAGCCAGATAAGGTAAAGCAAGAGGGCTAAGGATGGCATGTTCCAAGAGAGTCTGCAAGTTTCTGCTGCTTTAGATAATGAGCATAGGGCTTGGAGTATCACTCTTGCAGACAGAATGTCCAGGGATAGAGCAAAGAGGAGAAAGGCACAAGAAAAGGAGAGGAATGTGCAGCAGAGACTTTTGCGCTTCTTAGGCTGCAGAGAAGCGGCAGACTCTGATGGACCACTAGGTTCAGCAATCTACAGGGCTACATCTACAGGGCAGTGCTATTTTGGGATACCGGAGGTATCTATTAATAGCTATTCCGAAATAGCTATTCTGTGTCTTTTGAGCATACCCATTATTTCAAAATATAACGGGCTTGCTATTCTGATGTCTCATAAACTTCATTCGATGAGGAATAAGGGATGTTTCAAAATAGTCATTTATTTTGAAATAAGTGCTGTATAGACAACGCCATATTTCAAAATAAGCTATTTTGAAATTGACTCAAAATGAGCTATGCAATTTGCTTAGCTCAGATTGTGTAGCTTATTTCGAGCTATGGGTGCAGTGTAGGTGCACCCATAGAGAGCTTGATATTGGGACCTCCAGGTCCCTACAGTTCCTCTCAACATTCCTTGGGGCCTCAGGGACTATTGTTCTACTCCCATGGTCCCCGCCGTGGCGCCCACCGGGCTCTTTACATGCGCCTGCGGAGCAATCTGGGCTGGCCCTGCCCCTGGGCGTGCGGCAGGTGCCAGCCCCGGGCGCATGGCCGGTCCCGGCCCCGGGTGCGCCGCGCATGCCGGTGCCGACCCTGACCCCCGCCCCCGGGGGCACCGTTATTCCAGCTCTGTTTTGAACAGTGCTAGTTATGTGTCTTACTGCAATTACAATATATGGTTTCACCTTGTTTTCAAGGACATACAAATGCAGAAAGATAAGTGACATTTCATTCTAATGAATATTAGAGTAATCTTTTAAGAGAATGTACTGTAAGGAAAATGCTCTCTCTCCAACAAGCCACCTACATGTACAGCAAAATTTGACCCTAGAAACCTCTGAAAAGGTTTCTTATGCTTACATTACTAATTTGCATGACTATTATAAAAGCAAAAGTGGCCCTTGTTAAGACCCATTAGGAAATGGATACGTAAGAGAAAACATAATGCCACTACATAAATCCACCATATGCTCAATATTAGTCACTCAATCGCAAGAGATATAATACAATTTTTAAAGGTACAGAGAGGTGCAACAAATTATTAGGGCTATAAAACAGCTTTCATAAGGGGAGAGATTAAAAAGGATTGGCACTGTTTAGCCTAGGAAAAAGCCAACTAAAGGATTTGCATTGTTATGAAATAAAAAGTCTGTTTACAGAAACAATTAATATTTATTGGTTCACAACATATTCTGGCTGGAGCGGACGTCGTTTACAGACAGTATTAAACGATGCATTGACAATATCATTTACACAGACAGCATTCACCAAAGGGATCACACAGCTAGGGCTGCAAAAAAACCAGCACGCTGCCGCCCCAAACAAACTCCATTTTCTGAAATAAAAAGTCTGTTTACAGAAACAATTAATATTTATTGGTTCACAACATATTCTGGCTGGAGCGGACGTCGTTTACAGACAGTATTAAACGATGCATTGACAATATCATTTACACAGACAGCATTCACCAAAGGGATCACACAGCTAGGGCTGCAAAAAAACCAGCACGCTGCCGCCCCAAACAAACTCCATTTTCCAGCATGCATCGCTCCTCGCCGTGTGGCAGGCGGAGGTGGCGCTTTGCATGCTGGGGCTTGTAGGCCTTGTAGGAGAAGGCTGGGCCCGGAACGAAGGGAGAGTGGGCGGGGCCACGCACGGCGGCAGCAGCCTGGCCGGGGAAGGGGACGAAAGATGGCGGCGCCCGTGTCGCCCTTGGTTACCGCGGCCCGGCACGCCGCCCGCCCG